ACCTATCTCCTGCTTTAGCTAGAGATAGAAAATAGTCTCCTACACCTATCTCCTGCTTTAGCTAGAGATAGAAAATAGTCTCCTACACCTATCTCCTTCATCAACTTCTGATAGAAAATAGTCTCCAACACATATCTCCTGCAGTAGCTTCTGATAGAAAATAGTCTCCTACACCTATCTCCTTTATCAGCTTCTGACAGAAAATAGTCTCCTACACCTACCTCCTGCAGTAGTTTCTGATAGAAAACAGTCTCCTACACCTATCTCCTGCTTTAACTTCTGATAGAAAACAGTCTCCTACACCTATCTCCTGCAGTAGCTTCTGATAGAAAATAGTCTCCTACACCTATCTCCTGCTTTAGCTAGAGATAGAAAATAGTCTCCTACACCTATCTCCTGCTTTAGCTAGAGATAGAAAACAGTCTCCTACACCTATCTCCTTCATCAACTTCTGATAGAAAATAGTCTCCAACACATATCTCCTGCAGTAGCTTCTGATAGAAAATAGTCTCCTACACCTATCTCCTTTATCAGCTTCTGACAGAAAATAGTCTCCTACACCTACCTCCTGCAATAGTTTCTGATAGAAAACAGTCTCCTACACCTATCTCCTGCTTTAACTTCTGATAGAAAACAGTCTCCTACACCTATCTCCTGCAGTAGCTTCTGATAGAAAACAGTCTCCTACACCTATCTCCTGCAGTAGCTTCTGATAGAAAATAGTCTCCTACACCTATCTCCAGCAGTAGCTTCTGATAGAAAATAGTCTCCTACACCTATCTCCTTTATCAGCTTCTGACAGAAAATAGTCTCCTACACCTACCTCCTGCAATAGTTTCTGACAGAAAATAGTCTCCTACACCTATCTCCTGCTTTAACTTCTGATAGAAAACAGTCTCCTACACCTATCTCCTGCAGTAGCTTCTGATAGAAAACAGTCTCCTACACCTATCTCCTGCTTTAACTTCTGATAGAAAACAGTCTCCTACACCTATCTCCTGCAGTAGCTTCTGATAGAAAATAGTCTCCTACATTAGTCTCCTGCATTAGCACCACACTTAAGACTATAAAATTTGAATTAACAGACATTCAACCACAGGTGAGTCTAATTATTCTTGTAAGAGGTGTACAGCAGACCGGTAAAAGGTCATTAAAAGCCCTTCCCATTCCATGCTCTCAGCAACGGCTCCTCGTGGAAGAGAATGACACAACATCTGGGAAAGGAAATTATGTCTTCACACAAAAAGGTGAGGGCTACAAGAAGATCAGCAAAGCTTTACATGTAGGAGTACTGTAGTAAAGTGATCCAAACATTTATGAAAGATGGATGTGCAGCCATCGTACAGAGATGTCCAGGACGTCCACAGTGGTTAACATCTGGACAGGAGCGTCTTCTGATGAGAAGGTTGAAGAAAATCACTGTGCAGGTTCAAAGACAAACTGGAGTGATTGTTTCCCGTGACACCATACGGCTCAAACTGCTAAGGAATGGCACTCATGGGTATCGTCCACAAAGGAAGCCTCTCCTAAAGCCCATGCACAAAAAGCAGGTCTAGGCTTAGCTAGGGCCCATGCTGAAAGGAAGGAAGACTACTGGGACTCTAGACTCTGGAGTGATGAGACAAAGGTCACAGGTTTTTTTTTTCAAAAACTATGGCTTCATAAAGGCATGGTGTCTACAGTGAAGCACGGTGGTGGTGGTGTGCCTATGTGGGGCTGCATGGAAGCTGCATCTCATTGATGGTATCATGAACTCAACAATGTCCTGCTCTATACTGAAGGAGAGGATGCTGCCATCACTCCGTGCACATGGTCGTCGTGCACTTCTCCAACATGACAACGCTCCAGAACACACATCTAAAGCTGCTGCTGCATTTCTGCACAAGAACAGGGTGAAGGTGATGGAATGGCCAAGTCTGCCTCCTGATCTGAAGCCAGTCCAACACCTGTGGAGAATTCTGAAGCAGCAAGTGGAGCATCACTCTCCATCCAGCATCCAGGCTCTAGAAGAGGTTCTTCTTGAAGAATGGAAAAAGATAGATGATGCAAATGTCGCCATCTTGTTCATTCCATGCCTAGAAGACTTGGTGCTGTCCTTGAAAACCACGGTGGTCATGCTAAATACTTGATGTAGTAGTTTTTGTTGTGGGGTGTTTTCATTTTTACTTCAACCAGTTTTAGTAAAACTCAAGATTGTGTGATCTCAGTTATATTTAATAACCTTAATTTCATGTTATGGAGTTAAACACGTGTTCAGTTAAACCAGCCTTGGGAAAATTCTGGAAATTGTTCTTTGGTTCATTGAGCTGCTGATTAAATTCGTACTTTTTAACGGGGTGTACTCATTTATGCTGAACACTAGATGTCTCACTGGGAATTAGCATTCATGGTCTCGCCCACAGGAAGGCTTTTCTAAAATGTTTTGCAGCGAAGAGAAAAAGCAAGAAGTGTCTCAGCGATTGTGGTTTTGCAGCATTACTGAATGCTTTCTGTTAGCGAATCAGAAGAGAGGTGTGTGCATATCATTAATAATAATTAGCAATGCTGCTGTTTTCAGCCCACCTCTGCACCAGCAAACTTCTGCACCTCCAAACAGGAGCATCATAGCTTTCTCCTTTTAATAACTCATTTCTGCTGGACTCACTGCAAATGTATTCTATAACTCACCGTGTGCTTCATCACATACTTTGTTTTGGATTCATTACAGTTGGTCTGATTTATATCATTGTCTAAAGAGGGGAGATTGTTTTGGGGTGCATAAGAGATACTACGATCTTCTGTGATATGGTTCTTATGTCTAGTTTAATTTAATTTTCTAGCTACTAAAGAAAGATTAGCATCAGACCGGCCAGGAATTAAATTATACGTCTTTATTATGCTTTCTGGTTTGTTTGTGACAATGAGGTACACTCATGTGTCTTCATCACATCCACATTTCTTTTTATGTACTTTTCCACACAAACTCAGGTTAAAGTCCCCCATCAGCAAAATAATACCTTCAAACCTTCTGAGCATGTCCAACACTTGAGAGTAAAAAATGATCTGAAGCACCAGGAGGACGTTAAAGAGCCGTGATTACAAATGACATTTCTGGAGAAAGTGAATCCCACGCGTTCCAGTTTATGTTTAGAAAGGTCCGTCTCCTTACTTAGAAATGTTTCTTTAACATATATTAAGTCACCTACTCCCTTCCCCCCTCCTCTTTCCTGTTGACACGTTGAAGCCCGGTACAGAACATCCAGAAGACAGAGCAGTAGCACATAACCAGGTTTCACTTAAGCAGAAGTAGTCCAAATTAGAATCAATAACTGTTAGATTAGAAATAATGCTCCGTATTCTCCAGCGACCTCCAAAGACACCGTTTGGCTTCTAGTCATGCTTCCATAGCACTTTGCGTGATTGACAGTTTGGAGCCATTTTATCTTTTGCTGCGTCAGAGCCACATGAGCTTGCCCGTCTGTCTGCCTCCATCTGCGGGATACGTTCAACACCTCAGTCTGTGCTTGCAGCTCTGATCCCAGCTCATTTCAGCAGTGCTGCAGCGCACCGGCTTTCTCTCTTCCACCAAGAGTGCCTGTGTCTCATGAGGACATGATGGTGACTCGTGCCTCCATTAGCAGCCCTGATGGTTTTACAGCACCTGATAATAGCATCTGTTCCTCCCGTTGTTTCACTCGGTGATTTGTTCTTGCACACTTCTCACCCTCCTCCTGTGGATCGGTGATTATTAGCGTGATTGGTTAGCTAGGTCACTTATTCCCTAATGGTCTGTTATCAGGTGAACTCAGGGCTTTTGTTGTCAGCTGTACTCCTGCAGTTACACTACACGTTAGCTGTGTCTCCATCACTGGAACTTCAGGGTAAACTCACCGGAACCTCCCAAAAAGCGTCTCCACTTGACCGGGCTGACCGACCTTCTGGGCACCTGCTCAGACGTAGGTACTTGGAGTGGCCCAGTAAAAGGCGGTCCTTATCCATACTATCCATAGTAAATCCATATCCATATTAGCTATTATTATTAATATTAATATTAAAATGTATGTATTTATTTCATTTGACCTATTTTAATCATACCAGTGTTTCCTCTGTGGGGTCCTCTGCCTCGGGGTGGTGGTTGACTGTGGCGGTGTTGGCGCTCCTAGGGTGTGTTTGTACGGTGGTGGGGGTCTCTGCCCTCCCTCCTCGGGCGCCCAGGGTTGGTGCCTTGGCTGCTGCCGTCGATCAACTGCTGCCGAGGCAGATGGCTCACCTGATGGCGTGTCATTCATTACCTAACCCATCTGAACTCAGCCTAGTGTTTACTTATGCTGTTTTTTAGGTTGTGTGTGTGTGTGTGTGTGTGTGTGTGTGTGTGTGTGTGTGTGCGTGCCTGCGTGTGTGGGTGTGTGTGTGTGTGTGTGTGTGTGTGTGTGTGCCTGGCAAATGGGCTGTGCTATGGGGGTGTAACTGTCACAATTGTTTTTATAGGGAATGGAAGGGATGGGGATACGGGTTATATGGGGTCATTTTAATCTCTAAAGCACTTAGAGCTGCATTTATTTTGTATGAAAAGAGCTATACAAATAAAGTTTGATTGATTGACGGTGGGCAGAAATATGCCGAATGGTTGTAACTCAGTCAGAAATGACATCGTTGTAGGAAGTGCGTACGGGGTAGAGAACCGACATTTAGGAAAATACGAGTTGTTGGCTTGTTCTGTGCCAATCAGTGACGTTACGGACAACTCTGCAGTCGGGGTGTGCTGGCGTTTTGGCACATTCCATTCAGGGACAAACTGTAAATGGAAACTGGACAGCTAAGAAGACCAGGCCTTCGGATCGCCCAGTCAGTTTCCACCTCGCTGCATTTACCCAGAAGGTCTGCTAAAGGAAAAGGAAACACACCTATTGTGACCGTCACTCTCCACTCCCTCTCCTCGGCTGCTCCTTTCTCCTTCTGACGCCCCCGCAGCAGTCCTGCAGGAGGGGAGTGGTTTCTTTGGGTTTGGTGAATAGATGTTGTGTCTGATGGTTTGGTCTGAACCAGTGAGGCACAGACTACATCCAGCCACTGACAAACCGTACCAATCAGATCCCAGTCCATTTTCAATTACTGACAACTTTAGGATTTCTCCATGAGAACCCCGTAGAACCTCCTTCCTCTCTTCTACCTGAACATACACGTGTTGCCAAGGTAACCAAACTGACAGCTCTGCGCTCAGACAACAAACGTTTCCAAATAGGGACGTGTATTGGTGAAATTCTGGCGATTCGATACGAATCACGATACGATACATCACGTTATACTGCGATACATTCAGCCAGACGATACTAGTGATTTCTTTAGACTGAAACTAGCGGTCAGTGAATTGCACCAAATAAAAAGAAAAAGAACAAATGTTTGCATGTTAATTCTTCCAAAATTTCGATACACAGCTTTTGAATATCGATATAATATTGCAGGAAAATAATTTGCGATATATTGCCGTATCGACATTTTCTTACATCCTATTTCCATACATGTACGATAAATGACCCGCACTTGTATAGCGCCTTTAAAAGCCCAAGGACTTCAAGGTGATTTACATAACTGTGTATCTAGAAGAAAAGTAACTCCAAACAGGACATTTAACTCCTTTATAGTGACAGCAGACGGGAAACTTCAGTCCACGTTTTTTCCTGTTCGGTTTTATGTGGAAGCGTTCTTTATTTGTGACAGGGACCTCTCCGCTGTCCCGACGGCTTTTACCACCTCTGCAACTTGGTTGGTTCTCTTCTACTTTGGCAGCCAGAGCCTCAATCTCGCTGTCATGGAAGGTTTTTCTTTATTCCCCCGGGGGAAACGCAGGGATCTCCCTCATGAGCCTAGAGGACGGGGTGTGGCCAAATTGAGGGCGTTTCTGTATGTAAGTGACTGAACGGACACGAGCACCTGGGTACGCACAGGTGGGATTTATCATCAGTCAATTAGGAAGGAACGTGTGTGCCAGAGGCCACCGCATGTTTCATAAAACTGGATTTTGGTCATTTTTGCAAACATGATAAATTTCACTTACAGGGAGGAATATAGGACAGTCTCTAGGAAAGTTTGATGCACGAGGGCTGTGAGTCCTAATTCTGAAGCTGTCATCAGTAATGAAAACTCCATTATAACAACCCAGTTACCAGAGCGACTCAGCACCCGCTCATCCAGCTAATAATTCTGTAACACATCTGAATTGAGCAACAACCTACTTCATTGCTTCCTGTTTCTCTTTCCCCTCAGCTTTTCTCGGATCTTCCTGCAGACGGTGAAAGATCTTGCTCCCAAATGTGACGTGAACTTCCTGCTGTCCGAGGACGGCAGCGGGAAGGGGGCTGCTCTCATCACTGCCGTGGGCTGTCGCCAGAGGGAGCTGGATGCCCAGCAGCACTGAGGAGCTTCGTTGCCCACCTGCTGCTCCACCGTGACCTTCACCTGCTGCACAGCCCGAATCCATGTCCCCTTGGCAGCCGTGACTCCACCTCCTCCCCATGATCCAGTCTGAGACATGCTGCATTAATGGTGTTCTAAAGGAAGACCCAAATATTTATTCATCCTGTTAGAGAGTTTATTGTTTATCCGTTTGTACATTTTCCATAATAGATTGTCAATAATCTGATAACTCCTTTGGTGTGCAATACTTGTGTACTGCTACTTTTATTTTTATATGGAGGCAAATATATAACAGTGTTTATATCGCTGCATCCCAGATGTTCCGGGGACTTTGCACCACACAAAAGCTCATGTCTGCACTTTTTATATGACGCCACATTAGCGGTGTTTCAATGTGGTTACCTATTGAAGGACATGGTCCTAACGGGACCAGCTCCGCCAGGGCTCGTTCATGAAGGATTGAATGCAAAAGTCACGGCTGTTAAACTACTGTCAACACTCACAGGATGTGCGAGGCTACAACCCCCCGTTTGTGTAACTGTGTGTGTGTGTATGGATGTGTGTGTGTTCCACAGATTCCTGCAGCACTGTACCATTCACTCTTTAAGAGAGGACAAGGCAGAAGGAGGAAGTGTTAGCATAACTTATTAGTATTTGTGATTTACTATACTTATGGTGTTGTGTTGAATCCTAATTCTATTGACTGTATGTGCAAAAGAATAAATGTTTATCGGGTCCTGAGAACAGAGTAGATACGAGCGCGCTTCTGTGTGTATTTGTGTCCTGCTGTGGAAACCTGTAGCTTTTAATGTCCAAGCTCTGTGGACACTGCATGCCTTACCTGAGACAGGAAGTGTTGCATCTTTTTTTTTTACATCAATACAGATTTGTGATCATGTCACAAAAAATGGTTAATTAAATTACTTTCTGTTGTGGATTAAGTTCTGTCTCTTCCTTGGGCCCAACAGGATTTAAGTCAGAATTTGGCCCCGATCCTCTTCCGTACGGGACCAAATGAGAGCAACTGAATTAGTACGTGTTTAAGTTTAAACTAACAAGAGTCTGTCATTTCTGTCAGACGTGAAAAGGCGAGTCCAGCAGGAATATCAGGAATCAAAATAGCATCAACACGACTTCTTCTGAAATGTGTCAAACAGCAATGAAGATGTTTCCATCCAGAAACTAAACTAATAACAGTGGTGGTTGTATGGCACGGGTGTGTGTGTGTGTGTGTGTGTGTGTGTGTGTGTGTGTGTGTGTGTGTGTGTGTGTGTGTGTGTGTGTGTGTGTGTGTGTGTGTGTGTGTGTGTGTGTGTGTGTGTGTGTGTGTGTGTGTGTCCGCTCCACCAGGCTGGGTGCTGTGCATGAGGATTAGCTGCTGCACCCATCCCTTACGAGCTAGCGCTGAGGTGTCGCTGCAGATCTCACCGGTAAGTAACCGCGGCCGGGCTACACGCGGTGACACCTGACCCGTAAGGAGCAGGGCTGAGTGGAGAACACACGTGAGACGGAACACGTAGCCTGCTGGCTGCTGACATGCTAATTTTACTAGTTGTATCTTTGGCGCTAGCTAGCTAACCAGCCCCGTTAGCCTTCCCCTGGCGCGCGGGTGTGAGCTCGCTCCGAGCCGCCGTGTGTCCGTACCAGTTTGTCTGTATCTGTCGTTGGCTTTCAGTCGGCAGCAAATTCTAGTTTGCAGGTTTACATGTTGGTTTTTCGGATGAATTTCCGCGCGACACTTCAACGGGCTAATGTCAACAGCTAACGCTAGCCCCTGCGCCTTAACCTGTTGGCTCCTCGCACCAACGCCGTGTTTACAACGACAGTCCTTCAGGTAATAGACCCAGCCTTCGCAGCATTACCTATGTTAGTAGCGTCTACCTCAGTCACCGTGTCCCGGTTGCCCCACAGCTAACTAGTCCCATCTGTAGCTCTGCACTGCCAGCCACCCCCCGCGTACCACAACCAGGTGACCCTGCTGTCCCAAACAGGTGTTCCCTATCTGTCATGCACGCGACTAATTTGATTATTAACCCGTGTCTGTCCATGTGTTAGCCGCCGCCGCGTGCAGCACCAGCTGCAGTAACTGGAGTGGAGATCAGTGACTAAACATCAATCCCAGTTTTAGATGACGTATGAACTACATTTGTGTGTTTGATGTGAACCGCCGCCTTGTCAGAACCTCCTTCTGCTTATCTGCTGGTAAACATCTCGTTTAATCTGCATTTGTGATTTTATTTCCACACAGATGCAGTGAAGCTGGTAAACGGCTACGCCCCCACTCCCCCACCCCATTACGCTGACATTTGACCCCCAGCAGAGAAATCGTCTTCGTGTGTTTCAGCTGCTTGGCCCCGGCGTGGCCCATGCACAGTAGTCGTTCCCCTCTTGCTCCACCTCAAACCTCAAGCTGACGCAAAACCCCAGGCACCAGGCCCCTCTCCCCCACCCCCATTCCCACCCCATCCCTAGTAATTCCCCCCCTACCGCCATGGTATCCGGCACGGAAACGGTGCACTACATACATCTGCACAACTCCAGCCAGTCGGTGCTGGAAGCCCTGCGCACCCAGCGGCGCGAGGGCCTGTTCTGCGATGTGACGGTTCGGATACACGACGCCTCTCTGCGCGCCCACGCCTGCGTCTTGGCAGCTGGCAGTCCCTTCTTTCAGGACAAGTTGCTGCTGGGTCACTCTGAAATATCTGTGCCACCGCTGGTGCCCGCTGAAACAGTGAAGCAGCTTGTGGATTTCATGTACAGCGGCTCCCTGGTGGTGCTGCAGTCACAGGCCCTCTGCATCCTCACAGCTGCCAGCATCCTGCAGATCAAGACGGTCATTGATGAATGTACCCAGATAATCTCTCAGAGAAAGGCGGCAGCAGGGGCGGCGAGTGCAGCAGCAGCCGCCGCCGCTGCAGCAGCTGCAGGAGTTGGAGCAGCGGGGGCGTTGCTAGGGGGGGTTCACCCAAAACAAGAGGAACGTGCCATGGGCAAAGGGAGAGAGAGCAGCAGCAGTGGAAGCTGTTCTGTTAGTAGTGCCAGCGGGGGTGGCGGTTATGCAAACTTCTCTAATTTCATGGCAGAATGTGGCGGTGGTAATATGGGCGGGGGGTTGGGGGGTGCTAGTGTGAGTGAGAGCGGCCCAGGCCCTATTGATCAAAGTAGCACTGTAAGCCTGATGGCGCTGGGGGACATGGGGTCCAGTTCCATGTGTGGCAGTGATGGGATGGGAGCAGGGCCCGGTCCAATGCTCATGAAGCAGAGCTCCAGCTGCACTCAGGACGTCAGGTACAAGCTCCGAGACCTGCTGGCCCAGACGGCCAACGGAGCCAGCACCAGTAGCTCCGGCGTGGACGGCGTTGGCAGGGACAGCCTCCGTGGCAACACAGCTGACCTCTCCGATGACCTTGTGGGGATAGACAGGTACAGCGAGGAGGAAGACTTGGATGGGAGAGAGCGAGGAAGAGATGGAGACAGAGACAGGGGGGCGAGCCACAGCCGCAAGCAGAGGCAGCCGCTAAGACTCCAGGTAGGGGGATAAGGGGAAGGGTTGCTATGGTTACAGCTTTCAGGCATGCAGAGCTGCAACATTTTCCATTTCTGTCTTTATATGCTTTTCCCTCTTCTCTCTGCATTGGCGTATGTTGCTGAGATGTTTCTGCAGTTAGCTAAATTGAAGCTATCGTCTCATCTTCAGCAGTGTTGATAATCAATGGACTTCTGCATATTAACTGTAGGTCTTTCCTCTTATTAGAGCCTGCTTACCGGGTCAGTGTTATGTTGTGCTTGACTTTTTCTGCCTTTTAGCTCTGACCACAGTTGCAAGCTGGATTTCTTTACCACATACAATTCCTCCTTTCAGGTGCTTGGAGGAGAGGGGGTGGTGGTGAAGGATGAAGGGGTGCAGGAAGCAGATGGCACCGTCTATTCGTTGGAGGATGGGAGACGGGATCAGGACCAGGAGGGTGCCCAGGACATGGCCGGCTTTGGACAGGTACGCTCACTCAGACGTGTGAAGCTGCTGCTGCAGCCATGAAGCTAGCGTTGCAAACGAAAGACCTCAGAACGTATGAACTCTTACTGGAGAGGTAGAAGACTCTGGTGCTGAGCGTTTTAATCGCTTATCGACCACCCCACAGCCCTGTGTGTGTGTGTGTGTGTGTGTGTGTGTGTGTGTGTGTGTGTGTGTGTGTGTGTGCAGAAATATACCTTGTTTTCGAAGGATCTGGTTGCATTTGGTTTATTATGAGCACTTGTGTCCCAAATTCTGAAGTAAGCGGAGAGGGAGACGTGGTGGAGCAGATTTATGCGGCAGCCTGCCGTACGCTGCAGGAGGAACATCTGCTACTCAGAGAAAAGCCTTCCTGTTTCCTCTCAAGCACTGGAGACGAAATCACGATTTGAAATAGAGGAATCTGAATTTAGATGGATGAAACATTATCAGATGCTGACAAAGCAGTACCGGTGATCCTGAATGAATCCAGCGCTTCCTCCGTAGTCGGTCCCTCTTACCTTTCCTTGCTACAACTCTGTGGGCAGCAGCTGCAGGACCTGATCCACGGAGAATGCTGTTAGGTTTCCAGCAGTGGAGAGGATCATCATCACCATCATTTCTCCAGTCGCCCTGCTGCTGCAGCACTTTATTGTTTTACTTCCTGTAAGAGGCTCTCTGTGGTGTTGACTGCTGTAGCTTGCTAGCTTCCTGCTCCTCAGCCTAAAGGCTGCTGCTGCAGCGGCGTGAGCACGCTAACTTTGCATACATTGCAGGAGTCCTGCATGGTCTAAATGTGACCATTGGTAATTTAGCTCAGTTCTACAAAGGAGGGACTCATTTAATATGGTAATAAACTGCATTCAGACTCATATAAAATAAATCAAATGTCCACGCCAGAAGCTTTCCTGGTTTCCAGTTAGGGTTAGGGTTTTTCCATCATCAGTTTTATTAACAGCATCTGGATCAGATCCACCCCTGAGTTAAAGGTGTGGTTCACACAAGACCAGTGCTTGTTTCTGATTCTAATTGGTCACTCTGAGTTAAGCATGCAGGCTGAACGTAAAATAGTCTCCTACACCTATCTCCTGCAGCAGCTTCTGATAGAAAACAGACGGTGAAACTCTAGGATAGAAAATCCTGACAGATCACACTGTCACTAACATTCATAGACTCACCCATCTGGACTCACGACGGGGAGGGCTGTTGTTGGTTTAGCGTCCAGGAAACGGCAGAGAACGTCTCTGCTAGTTGACGCTAACCATTAGCATTAGCAACTCCACCACACAGCAGAACTCTAGGCTTGTGTTAGTAGTGGGGATAAAATGTCAACGTTGCAGAGCAGAGTCAGTGGTAGAGTCGTGTTGCAGCTACAAGAACTAGAAGAACCTGAGCTGCTGTCAATATGTTCTACCCTTTGTGTTTGCTGCAGGATTTCTATGATGAACAGGGCGTGTTCTCTGAGAGCTTCTGGCCACAGACTGAGCCTTCTCAAGCCATGGCTTTTAACCCCAGAGGAAGAGTCAACAAGCCGTTGACTCCGCCCCCAACCTCACAGACCATCAACAACCAGGTCAGCGCCTTATTTTAATTCAGCTGAGATGCTTTAAAACCAGTTCATAAATGGTTCACGCTTCATAGCTAAGGCAGCATTCTCTTCTGTAATTGGTCAGCTGGTCTGACCCTAAAACAAAAGCACACCCAAGCGTCCCCTGGTGGCTGTCTGAAGTAAATAAAGGAAATTTTTTCCTCACTAAGCAATAGGAGGATGTTTTGTTTTGTCACTGTTTATGTTATCAAGCCTCCCATGTATATGTATATGTATATGTGTATATGTATGTGTGTGTGAAGAATATTTTATTTCTATTGTAGAACGAATGCCACAAGTGTCTTCAGCTGTTATATCTGCCAAAGGTTTAGAATACATTTTGGTCTATAAATTGATTCCATGATTTCTTTTTTTAACTCCCAACTGCTTATTTGTACTATGCTTTCATTTCAGAGTGTAGTGTGACATTAACTCATTCACTGCCATTGACGACTAAAGTCGTCATTTTAGATCCAACCGTTCACTGCCAATGACAACTAAAGTCGTCATTTGCATTTTTTTTACTCTTTGAGCATTGGAACGAGCCCCCGCACTGAGAGAACAAACATCTCAGCCCTGAAGCCGATCTTCATCCGCATACGTCACAGATCACATGATCAGGAAGCAACACATCCATGTGTTTGGAGATCGTTTTGGGCCGTTCCTATAAAAAAAGTGAGGCGCGAACCGGAAAAGCGTCTGCCGATCACAATTCAACAACGGATTATGAAAGAACGGATAACGCTCGAAACACGCGGCTTCTTCCTGATGTAAGAGGCGAGTCTCCTCTTTGTTTGGTTGTTTTGGCATCGACATCATGCTAGCGCGCAACGTTCTGTCACTCTTAAAAAAACAGTAAAAACGGTGAGAAACGCTGGCAGCGAAGGCCGTTAGTGATCAGGAAACGGCTGGCAGTGAATGAGTTAAACTTCATCATTTCCAATAAAAAACTGGAAAAATTGGGGCGTTCTAAAACTTTTGAGCGGTATTGTAGTGCACTCCAGTTTTGCTGTGCCTTGTACAACGACAAAAAAGCCTATTCTGTTCTGTTGCTCCTCCACAGCTTCTGTTCCAGTACCCAGTGAGCCACTCTCAGCCTGCCCCATTCTATGTGGGCGGGCCCATGGGAGGAATTGACAACATGGTGGGAACAGAACAGAGTCAACAGGCCCCGCCCCCAGGACCAATGACCCCCGCTCCACCTCCTTCCACGCCCTCCTGCTCTGCAGGGCCTTCTCCCTCCTCACAAGGATCTGAGACCTCATTCGACTGCACACACTGTGGCAAATCTCTACGCTCCAGGAAGAACTACAGCAAGCACATGTTTATCCACTCCGGTAAGATCCCACACAGGGATGGGTTGGCAGTGGGATGGTGGGAAATGGAGCCAAAACTTTACTAAATAAATCAAGTAGAAGCAAAAATGAAACAAACCAACTTTTTGTCCGAACTTGCCTCACATCGTTGTTGCACTGAAGATGTTCCAGACCTCAGGAGTCCTGGTCATGGTGCTGCCTGTAGACAGGCTGTAAGGTGGCTGTTTGTCGTCCCAATAACAAAATGTTCCCTGTGTTTTTACCTCCTTGTTCCTCCTTCCTTATGTCATCACAGGTTTTTAACGAGTCATGATCAGTAGGGATGCAACAATATGAAAATCTGGGACAATTTTGATAGCCGCTATTCTCTAACATTTATCTGCCCACACTTTCAACTCCGTGTGAAAGCAACCACACCACCTACATGTATGTGTTTGATTCGCTGTAGTATAAAGCACTTTAGAGTCCTCTAGCCCTTTTTAAATGAGTATAACACTGGTTCCTCGGTAGGGTCTCCCATGACAAATTGGTCTTAGGTGAAGGGTGAGACAAAGAACGGTTCAGAGGACCTTTCATGCATATACAATCAAAGAGTCGGAGTACCCGGCCCGGAGGATTACTGGAGTCCCACCCTGGAGTCGGGCCTGGGGTTGGGGCCTGTGATCGAGCGCCTGGTGGCCGGGCTTTCGCCCATGGGGCCCGGCCAGGCCCATCCCGAATTGGATACATGGGCTCATCCAACTGTGGACCCACTACCCGCAGGAGAAACATGAAGTGTCCGGTGCAGTGTCGATCGGGTGGCAAACCGAGGCGGGAGCCTTGGCGGTCCAATCCCCAGACAAGGAAACTGGTTTTTGGGACATGGAACATCACCTCGCTGGCGGGGAAGGAGCAGGAGCTTGTGGCAGAGGTTGAGCGGTATCGGCTAGATATAGTCGGACTCACCTCGACACGTAGCATTGGCTCTGGAACCCAAGTCCTTGAGAGGGGTTGGACACTCTCCTTTGCTGGAGTTGCTCCGGGTGAGAGGCAGAGGGCTGGGGTTGGCTTTTTGTTAGCCCCAAGACTCTCTGCCTGTGTGTTGGGGTTTACCCCGGGGGACGAGAGGGTAGCTTCCCTGCGCCTTCAGGTTGGGGAACGGGTCCTGACTGTTGTTTGTGCTGATGGGCCAAATATCAGTTCAGAGTACCCACCCTTTTTGGAGTCCCTGGGACGAATGCTAGATAGTGCTCCATCAGGGGACTCCATTGTCCTGCTGGGGGACTTCAATGCTCACGTGGGCAATGACAGCATGACCTGGAGGGGTGTGATTGGGAGGAACGGCCCTTCTGATCTGAACTCGAGTGGTGTTTCATTATTGGACTTTGTGCAAGCCACAGTTTGGCCATAACGAACACCATGTTCGAACATAAGGATGCCCATCGGTACACTTGGTACGGGGGCAGCCTAGGTCGCAGGTTGATGATAGAATTTGTAGTCGTATCATCTGACCTGCGGCCGTATGTTTTGGACACCCGAGTGAAGAGAGGAGCGGAGCTGTCAACTGATCACCACCTGGTGGTGAGTTGTATCAGATGTCAGGGGAAGATGCTGCGTAGACCTGGCAGACCCAAACGCATAGTGAGGGTCTGCTGGGAATGCCTTGCAGAAGAACCTGTCAAGATGGTCTTCAACTCCTACCTCCGGCAGAGCTTTGACCGCGTCCCGAGAGCAGTGGGGGACATTGACTCCGAGTGGGCCTTGTTCCGCTCTGCGATTGTTGAGGTGGCTGTTGCTAGCTGTGGTTGCAGGGTGGCTGGTGCCAGTCTTGGTGGCAACCCCTGTACCCGCTGGTGGACACCAGAGGTTTGGGGAGCTGTCAGACTGAAGAAGGAGGCCTACAGGGCGTGGCTGGTCTGTGGGTCTTTGGAGGCAGCAGACAGGTACCGGATAGCCAAGCGGGGTGCCGCAGTGGCAGTTGCCGAGGCAAAATCTCGGGCATGGGAGGAGTTTGGTGAGGCCATGGAGAAAGACTATCGATCGGCTCCAAAGAGGTTAATGCAAACTGTCCGGCGCCTCAGGAGAGGAAGGCAGCAACTCGCTCACACTGTTTACAGTGGGGATGGGGAGCTGCTGACGTCAACTGGGGCTATAGTCGGACGGTGGAAGGAATACTTTGAGGAGCTCCTCAATCCCACCTACCCGCTTTCCGAGGAGGAACCAGAGACGGGAGACCTGGGGATGGACTGTCCATTCTCGGGGGCAGAAGTTGCTGAGGTAGTAAAACAACTACTCAGCGGCGAAGCCCTAGGAGTGGATGAGATTCGTCCTGGGTATCTCAGGGCTATGGATGTTGTAGGGCTGTCGTGGTTGACACGTCTCTGCAACATTGCGTGGTCATCGGGGGCAGTTCCTGTGGAGTGGCAGACCGGGGTGGTGGTCCCCATCTTTAAGAAGGGTGACCTAAGGGTGTGTTCCAACTATAGAGGGATCACACTCCTCAGCCTGCCTGGAAAGGTCTACTCCAAGGTACTGGAGAGGAGGGTCCGATCGATAGTTGAATCTCAGATTGAGGAGGAGCAATGTGGTTTTTGTCCTAGCCATGGAACTGTGGACCAGCTCTTTTCCCTTGCAAGGGTGATGGAGGGGGCATGGGAGTTTGCCCAACCAATCCACATGTGTTTTGTGGATTTGAAGAAGGCTTATGACCGTGTCCCCAGGGGCACCCTGTGGGGGATGCTCCAGGAGTATGGGGTGGGTGGCTTTCTGTTAAGGGCCATTCAGTCCCTTTACCAGAGGAGCGTGAGTTTGGTCTGCATAGCCGGTAGTAAGCCGGACCTGTTCCCGCTGAGGGTTGGACTCCGCCAGGGCTGCCCTTTGTCACCGGTTCTGTTCATTACCTTTATGGACAGAATTTCTAGGCGCAGCCGTGGTGTGGAATGTGTCGAGTGTGGTGGCAGGAGAATCTCGTCTCTGCTTTTTGCGGATGGTGTGGTCCTCCTAGCTTCGTCCAGCTCTGACCTTCAGCTCTTGCTGGGTAGGTTCGTGGCCGAGTGTGAAGCGGCTGGGATGAGGATCAGCACCTCCAAATCTGAGACCATGGTTCTCGACCGGAAAAGGGTGGCTTACCAACTCCGGGTCGGGAGAGAGGCCCTACCTCAAGTGGAGGAGTTTAAGTATCTCGGGGTCTTGTTCACAAGTGAGGGTAGGAGGGATTGGGAGATTGACAGGCGGATGGGTTCGGCATCTGCAGTGATGCAGACGCTGAGCTGATCTGTCTTGGTGAAGAGGGAGCAGAGCCAGAAAGCCAGGCTCTCGATTTACCGGTCGATCTACATCCCAATCCTCACCTATGGTCATGAGCTTTGGGTAATGACCAAAAGAACGAGATCGTGGATACAAGCGGCCAAAATGAGTTTCTTCCGTAGGGTGGCCGGTCTCAGCCGTGGAGATGGGATGAGGAGCTCGGACATTCGGGAGGGACTCCGTGTAGAACCGCTGCTCCTCTGGATCGAAAGGAGTCAGTTGAGGTGGTTTGGGCATCTGGTCAGGATGCCTCCTGGACGCGTCCCTGGGGAGGTGTTTCGGGCATGTCCTGCTGGCAGGGGGCCCCCAGGTCGACCCAGGACATGTTGGAGAATCTCCAATCTGGTCCGGAAACGCCTTGGGGTCCTGCCGGAGGAGCTGGTGGAGGTGGCCGGGGAGAAGACGGTCTGGAGCTCCCTAGTTGGGATGCTGCCCCCACGACCCGGACCCGTATAAGCGGAGGAAGAAGACGACAATGATCTAAATAGGTAGTTTAAACTCCGGTTTAACTTTGGCTATAAACAGAAGTAAAAACTGGTGTGCACTTTATAATCTGCATTTTAAACATAAAGTGATACTGAAGCTCAGAGAGGCGGAGTATTGCTGCTGCGACGTCCAAAAGGTGTGTTTTCAGTGATCGGTTGCAGACGGGAGTCGTAGGTTTTCAAGCATCCTTATAGACTGTCGGAGGCTAATTTGAGTCGTGGGACTGCTCAAAAAGCTGTTGCAGAGCCGGTCAGACCGGACCGCCACAAATTAGCTCACGTTCATTGTTTTTTTACATGATTATTCTCCCGACGAGGGATCTGTCTAAGACGGCCGAAAATCGCACAGTGTGATCCGGGCTTAAGGCACACACCTTGTCTTAGGTCCGTAGCTGATGCCTGAAACCTGGGTGCTTTGTGCTGGGGACATAGTGCTGTTGTG